CCTTAATAAAAAAATCGATACAGGGCTTTAGAATATCGATACAGTATCGGGAAATGAAATATCGCGACATTTCAGTGTATCGATATTTTCTTACACCCCTACGTATAATTACTCAACACTTAATTACTCAAGCAGTCTTCAGGCTTGATTAACTGAAGGAGAATCTGGTGTGTGAAAGTGTGTGTCGTGTGTGAAAGTATTCTAAGTAACTTCTGCCTTGCAGGTAGCAGAGCCTGAGTCAGCAGAATCCTGCAGCAGCAGAGGAAGAGAGGATGTTGTGTTGGAAAGCAGCAGGAAGCGACACTCACCTTGCAGCTTCTGCATCACATTAGCGATGTCCACAGAGCCTCGACCAAAGTGTCTGGGAGACGCCATGTCGTCTCCCTGCAGCTGTGTCACAACACTGATGCCACAGGACGTCTCACAGCTGTCTGAGGTGGGACGCACCCTCTGCCCCTCCCTCCCTCCGTCTCCTTGTTCCACTGCAGGACCAGGTCCTATTGAATCTCAGGTTTCACGCAGGTACAAGCAGGTTTACTGTCCAATGAGAGCACTTCTTCCACTCAAAGACTGAGAAAAAGACAAGAGTGTGCAGGTGAGTGTTTGTCCAGCAGGTGGATTACACCTTTTCATTTACAATCTATTAAAGTTAACTTTTGGTGCAAGTTTTCTGACCCGCCATCAAAAGGTGAAAGTGGATGAAACTGTTTTTGCATATTTTGCTTAGAAATATATAAATATTTCTGAACATGAGATGATTTCAGTGTAAAACCGCAGTATGAAAAGCTGATAGTTTATACTGATTTTTAAGAGTTTTAACAGAATTTCACCTTAACTATCCAAATATAACCTTTTAACTTTTATTAAGCCTCCTATTAACCACAACTTCACTAAGAAACAAAAGAAACAAAAGGAAAGCAAGTTGAAAATTATGACAAATTAAATACAAAGTCATTGTGAATAATTCAATATTATTACTAATTACTAATTCAATTAAAAAACTATTTATCTCCTCAACGTGTAAAAATGCACTCCTTTATGTTTTATACCATAAATAAAGACTCAGCATGATGTATTTTAGGAAATTAAGTGAAAGATATTAAAACAGGAAACAGCACAACTTTACGAGCTTAGCAGGAAGTTACAAATAATTCAGGAACAGAAAGACAAGAACTCAGTTAAAAGTCAAATTACTTCTGTATGAAAAAAATAAAATAAAACAATTCATTTAAAATAGCTTGGAACCAATAGAGAAGCCTTATCATCATCAGTGTTCTCACCGGGCCGCTGAAGGCGACAGGAAGTTTCTACCAACAGCTAACAACCAGCACCAAACTCATCCCGCTCAAACACTCACTTAAATATATCTGCGACATGACTTTTTACATCTTCATACAGGAAGTGCCTGCGCGTGCTACTGTTGCTCGGTTGCCATGGAAACGGCGCGCGACACTGGCGTGCGGGTCCGTGACCACAGGAGGCTGCTGGCACGTGGAGGAGGAGCTTCCGGTTTGGAGTTTGCTGCTACCCAGAGTGCTGAAGAACTCTGCTGAACAAGCTGAAACTAAGCTTCTAAAGCTAAAAGAAGCAGAGTTAACTTAGTTAGCTGTTAAAAAAAAAAATCAAAAAATGATAGCTAAGATAACAAAGATAGCTAAAATATGCTAAGCTTATCTAACAAATAGCTAATTATAACAGTATTTGCATTTGCATGTAAAAGTAACTCTGTTACATTTATTCTGAAATATTTATTTTAAAACCAAGTCTTTTCATGGATAAAAATAGCTTTTTGTTTGTTTGTTTGTATGATTGTTTCCGTTGCTTTGAGGATATCTTTTTTTACTTTTGAACATTTGTTATGATGCTGGACCATAGTAACATGGTTTGCTATAACCGAGAGCAGCTGATTAACATCTTGCAGTGGTGGAGAAACCTACTCAAACACTGTACTTAAGTAAAAGTACAGATAAACAGACAAGAATTTACTCTAGTAAAAGTAAAAGTACCACATTAACATTATACTTGAGTAAGTGAGTACTTGCTTTTAAAAATACTTAAAAGGCCAATATTATTTGTTTCTCATGCATATATCTAAATACTATACCATAATAAAGTATCTATGTCACCTTTAGCTGTTATTAAAATGCTGTTTTTATGTTTAAATGCAAAATAAACTTATCTTTTCATCACTTCCTCTTGTAAACGCCTTGAAATTGGCCTCTGTCTCTTTAAGAACCACCTTCTGCTTCTGTTCCGCCCCTTTCGGGGAGGGATGGGCGTGCACTATGATGCAGTTTACTTGGCATCTGAAAATACATTTCCTCAAAGGTATTTTTAATCTGAAAAGAGCTTCACTGAGTGAGAACTAATGTTGAGAGCTCAGAAGACAGTTAGGTTTCACTTTCACCCAAGAGCCTGCAGGAGTCATGGGCGGGGTGTGTGGGGGGGTGTGCTCTGCCATGAGGAAGTTCGGCTTAAAGACACGTCCCAGGGGCGTTTCTGGTACCAAAAGGAGCTTCTGGTCCCCACCTGTCGTTTTGCTCCTCAGCATGGCTTCATAAAAACACTGCAGGATTTCTCAAACATGCATGAATGAGTCAGAGCAAGGCTTTGGGCATGTTTTTTATGAGAGTATAACATTATAACATGATATAAAACTCAAAAAAGTTGATTTTACATGATTTGCCCCTTTAAAGTTTTCAAAGTAAAAGTACTTACTTAATGTATTCTAATGGTCTACAATATCATGAAGTGTGCCTACTGAGTGTATATTTTAATACATCAATGGTGCCATTTTAGTGAACAAAGCTGCAGATGATGCATGTTTTTGTGTTAACCCTCTGTGACACTGTTCACACTTGGACTTGTGATTCTGTGCATCATCACAGATTGTGACAACAGCTGCAGAAGATGTCAATTCACCACCAACCTCCTCTATCAAATATCAACAAGTCATTTTTTTCTTAGAACCAGTTAACTTGAATGTCTTAAATAAGGCCCATGGCACATTTCCTCTGTGGTGGAAACCATTGTGGGCATGCTGCTGCTCTGCTTTTCTTTTTTAGGGTCTAATGGTACTTTCCTGCTTTGCAGTGGTTCAATGGGCCAATTACAGCAATTCCCCCACTCGCTACTGATTACTTTCAAATTAAAAAAAACAAATGAACCACACACAAAAAATGCGACGTAGCATGAATGTACTTTGTAATTCAATGCATTACAGAAATGTAATGGAGTAGAAAGTACTGATACTCAATGTAAAATGTAGTGGAGTAAAAGTCAAAAGTACCCTTCATGAAATATATGCAACTAAAGTACAGATACATGAAAAAAATGCACTTAAGTACAGCAACAAAGTACTTGTACTTAGTTACATCCCACCACTGACATCTCGAAAACTCAAATACGACCTCAACTACAGCCCAAAATGCCAGATGAGTTGAAAAGGAGGTGTCATGAATGTAAAGCAAGAAAAAAGAGGAAAGACGGAAGAAGGACATAAGTGAAGGTGTTGAGTGGGCAGGGGCAGAGCTAGACGTTTTTGCTAGGGGTGGCACAGGGCTGGACAATGTGTTTTTGTTTTTGGTGGGGGGGGGCACATACAAATAAAGAAATACACTCTGAATTTGTAAATTTGAGATGGCTACTACAGCTAATTCCTTAAGGCTTTAATTCATCTGTTTTAAAGGGATCCCTGATTAGTTGTAACATTAGACTTTATATGATAAACATATACTTTAACTGTAAAATAAAGACTGTAAAAATACTGTAATATGTTCAGTTTTTATAATTTTTAAACTAAATGTTTAAAAACATATAACATGGACGGGGCCATTTTATTTACAAGCAAAGCATTCTGGGTAAATGATGACATCAACTAGGTCATCGGTGCGAGGCTGCTAGCGAGCTATATCCACCCTGAAGGTTAATCTTGGACAATATCTGTGTCCAAAACGGCAGGCCGGGTCCTCCGAAGGTCGAATTTGTCGGCCGCATACGTCACAGCGCAGCGACGAAGGACGTCCAAAACCGAAGACTCCTCCGATGTGGCCGACAAATACGTCCTTCCTTTGGCTCGAATCGAAGACAGGTCCGATGGATCCTTCCCGGCCCAGCATATCCCATAATGCATTGCGGCCCGACCGGAGATTTTTTATGCTAGTAATGGAGGGCGAAGCGAGAGAAAAGAATACATTTTAAATAAAAATATGGTGATATAAAAACAAAAAAAAAATTAGCGTTTGTAATTCTAATACTTTTATCATTTGTATGGACATGTTTTTATATGTTATTTTTTCGTCATAAAAAACGCGAAATAAACATGAACCTACAGCAGGTCAATTAGCTCTTCAAATGTTACCTTTAAGTTAATTTTATAGTTTTGTGATATTAATAATGCTAATATATTGATATTTTTCTAGTTTTGATTTAAGTTTGCTTGTTTAGCATCGTCACAGTTGCTAGGTGACATGACGTACGCCGGGGTAAGGAGGGGAGGCTAGACCGTCCAAATTCACAGCCTCTTTTTTTCCGGTCTTCCCAGTCTACCAAGGACCCGGCCCGCCACGACCGGGGAGTCTGGGTCCTCCGGAGGACCTGGCCTGTCGTTTTGGACACAGCCAATATCTGATGATCGACTCTTTTAAATGAAACCAGAGAGCGTTGACAGAGAGGAGAAGGTAGAAATGACTCAGCCTGGAACTGAAAATATGGATGGAGGACAACAGAGCTGCTTCATGGAAGAAGAACCTCAGCTTAGCCTGTTAGCTTTAGCGTTAGCTCCGAGGTTATATTGCCTTATATGTATTAGCTCAGCGCTACATATTCTCCTCCCGTCACTGAGGTCCTCCATCCACATGACAGAGAGGGGAACACAAAAATGACTCAGTCTGCAACTGAAAATGTGGATGGAGGACCTCAGTTTAGCTTGTTTGTCTCGCTAGCGCCAAGCTAATACATATAAGGCAATATAGCGTGAGGGATAGCGCGAATGCTAACAGACTAAGCTGAGTTTCTTCTTCCATGAAGCAGCTCTGTTGTCCTCCATCCATATTTTCAGTTCCAGGCTGAGTCATTTCTACCTTCTCCTCCCTGTCAACGCTCTCTGGTTTCATTTAAAAGAGTCGATCATCAGATATTGTCCAAGATTAACCTTCAGGGTGGATATAGCTCGCTAGCAGCCTCACACCAATGACCTACTTGATGTCATCATTTACCCAGAATGCTTTGCATGTAAATAAAATGGCTCTGTCCGTGTTAAAATATATTTAAAAAAATTTACTAAACTAACCAGCCTACAGTATTTTTACAGTCTTTATTTTACAGTTAAAATAAATGTTTATCAAATAAAGTTTAATGTTACAACTAATCGTGGATCCCTTTAAGAAACATTTAGCTGAAATTTTGTGACTATGGCTGTATCCAAAACGGGAGGCCGGGTCCTTCGAAAGCCATATTCGTCGTCCGCTTACGTCACAGCACCGCAACGGAAGCTGTCCAAATCCGAAGACTTCTTCAATGCAGCCACCAAATGCGTCCTTCCTTTGCCCCTAACTGAAGGACTGGTCCAATGGATCCATCTCAGCCCACCATAACCCATCATGCACTGCGGGCAGACCGGAGATTTTTTTTCTGCTAGTAATGGTGGACAAAGTGAGAGAAAGGAATACGTTTTAAATACAAATATGGCAGTATAAAAATTAAAATTTTCAAGCAGTTGTATTTTTAATACCTTTGTCATTTGTACAGACATGTTTTACATATTATTTTTGTCTGACAAAAAAATGACTGATCAGGACTTCTGAGAAAATAACTGGTTGTCCTCACCCCTCCCTCAACAATATCACCAGCAGCCGCTGTCTGTCCAGGGTAAAGAATATTTTCAAAGACCCCCTCCATTCTTGTCACCAGCTGCTCAGCCTGCTGCCCCCCAGCAGAAGGTACAGGACCATTAAGAGCTGCATCAGCAAACTCAAAAACTCTGAACACCAGTCAAACACTTTAAGTGCAATAACTGCTGAATTGAACTGAACTGAATTGAATTAAGTGCCTTTATTGTCATTGTACATGACAACAAATACGGTGTAACACCCACCCAAGAGACACAAAAACAAGGGGGGATGGTGCCCCCCTTTTATTGGTTTTATCTTAAAATTTTGCCAAATCCTACGTCATTATGTATACTGTATACAGTATGTTGCTGTCATCCTACGTCTTTAAATAAACACTGTCAGTTCAGTTTTGTTGTAATGCCTTGTGCATTGATAATAAAGCCTATTTTATCATTGCTGCATCCTAAATGCACAAAAGAGCGTTACCGCAGATCCTTCCTCCCATCAGCTGTTAGACTCTATAACCATCACTGCTCCCAGTAGTCTCGATAAACATCCATGTTTGTGTTTGCAGGGCAAACAACTCTACCTCTCAATCATTATATCAATAATTATCTATGGCAATTGTACATCTTTTTTTCCTGTACTGGAACACTGACATAATGACTGAGTTCGACTCAATTTGCACACCCCATCAGATCATGAGTCTGTCAGGACTGTTTTTCTTGTAATTTTGTATTTTTCTGAATGGTATCTTGCTTTTATTTTATTTTTGTCTAATTTCATCTTGATAGTCCAGTACAGTAATTTTTATTTTATTTTATTCTGTTTATTTTTATTGTTACTATTTTCAATTCTATTATTATTGCCACAGTTGATAATGTCACATACACTGGACTTCCCCACGCGGGACAATAAAGGCTGTTTCTATTCTATTCTATTCTATTCTATTCTATTCTATTCTATTCTATTCTATTCTATTCTAGCTGAAATGGTAGCTAGAAGTAGCAAAAGGCTGGCAAAAAAATGAAAAGGCTAACTGGAAGTTAAAACTAGCATTAAGCCAATATAGTGTAAGTATGCTGAACTAAAATTAAAAAATCTCCATCATATTATTCAGGGATCATGGTAAACTGAATGTTTTGAAAATGTAAAAAGTTTAAAAAGTCACAGCAGCTATCTCCTGGATTAGCTCAACATTTTGATATAGGTCATAAGTGTTTAAGCATTAACTGAAGCCCAGAGTTGTAAAGTAACTAAGTACAAATACTTTGTTACTGTACTTAAGTAGAATTTTTGGGTATCTGTACTTTACTTGAGTAATTATTTTCAGCCTACTTTTTATGTCTACTTCTTACATTTTCACACAATTATCTGTACTTTCTACTCCTTACATTTTTAAAAAAGGCAGGAAGTAAAAAGTTGTTACTTTTATTTCATTCCAGCTTGTTATTGTAAAAAACTAAACAAGTAATATAATAATACAAGTATATAAAATATAATGTAATATAAATTGTGCCTTCTAGATGGAGTGAATTTAACTGTGGTTGAATGAGAAGTATAAATATATAAAACTCTGACACCGTATTAGCTTGTACACAAACAAATCATGTCACAGTGTAGCAGGCTATAATCATTAAAATAAAAGGACTGTACTTAAGAAGTATTTGTATTTTATGAATTATATTATTGCATTTGTCCACAGCCCTCGGATAGATTTCATTTTAGAAAAGATTTGGTCACCCTTGATAWATGTATATAAACTGAAACAGACTAGTGCATCCTGAATTTAACAAATTAATTATTTTAATACGATATATAGTCATTTCTGCATTTTGTTTTGGAGGGAGGTCTCCTAATAAATGTCCTTACAGAAAATCTAACTGCTCATTTTAAATCAATACTTTTACTTTTAATACTTAAGTTCAAAATATATCAGATACTTTAAGACTTTTACTCAAGTAATATTCCTAAAGGAGACTTTAACTTTTACCAAAGTAATTTTTTGATAATTTACTTATACTTTTACTCAAGTATCACTTTGTGGTACTTCATACAACACTGCTGAAGCCCATAAAGAAGAATGTTGAGCAGGTCTTTGAAGCTGTAAAGGTGTTGGACATGTTGACACTTCATTGCCGCCTGCTGGACATATTTATGAGAAGACTGGGTTAACATTGTAAATCCTGAGGCTGGACAGCAGGCTGCATCGATCTTAAACGAAGCCTTGCTTAGACCAGATGGAGAAAGAAATACTTAAAGTTAGTAAGTTTGGAGAACTGTTAGCAACTGTTTTCATTTGTTAGCCTGGGAGCATGAGAGAGCTGGGAACAGAAACAATTGAAGGAAATCCCTGCAGAGACTCTGAGCTGCAGACTCTGCATTGGAAGGTGGTGGTTTGTTGTTCACATTGTTGTCAAGACTTTTGACAACTTTCCAAGAATTTGGACATTAGCAGAAAGGCTGTACGTTTCAATAGATTTGTTTGTCTCTTTTTTAAAAGTATAAATAAAAGAACCTGTGCATCCTACAAAGTTTATCCTTGTTTTCCATCAGACACGTGTGATGTGGCCTGCTTCATAAAATTACACCAAAAAAGTATTGATCCTAAGGAAATGATGCAAAAGGAAACAGCCCTGCTTCCCAGTGTTATGTCCCGTACAGATAAGCCAAGCTTAGAGGAGGAAGGAAGCCATGTTTCCACTGCAGGAACAGAAAGAAGCTCAGTCTCTGTTTGCAAAGGGGTCAGGGTGGAACTAAACTTAAGCTCATCTGCAGAAAATGGCACAAAATGAAACCAGCCCCTTTTTGGAAATATTAAAATCATTTAATCTTGGTAAGTGCATCTCTCTTTGTTTCTCAGGATAATGTGGGGCCATCTTCAACTGTCTGTTAGAGAGGGTTCTGAAGGGTCCAAAGGAACGCTGTTGAAAAACTTTACCATTCTGTTCAGGGTTTGTTACATATCTTATTGCACAGTTTTGAAATAAAACCTTCATTAAAAAAGCAACACGTACAGGAATACTGTGAGATTACTTTTGGCAGTAATACGTTGCACAACACAGATAATATCTGGAAAAGAAACTGCAGGAAACAAAGAAGAATGGGATTTAGTGGAATAGCCAGCCTTGTTTAGAGCTCTGCATCTCAGAGACACTTTACCTTTAAAACCTCTTTAAAAATTAAACTGTTCATAAAAGTTCATTTATACATGGCGGAACCTGTCATCCTATTTTTACATATTCAGAATTGAGTTGGAGGCTTTTTTTATTCCACTGAATGTTTGACAGTTGATGTTGAGATAGGGTAACGAACAAATAAACAGAATTTTATGTATCACAATATAGATCAAAATGTAGATATTTTGTCTTCTGTCACCCAGTATGTCTCTCACTGCTGTAGGACTTCCAGGTTTTCCAGTTTTCTCCAACAAAAAGCAGAAAGTCAACAGCTTCACAGACTTTAGTAATATTTTACTCAATTTGTTCTCTTCAAACCAGGAAGTGAGGTTTTTTTTGACTTGTCACATCTTCTACATAAAAATTAAATTAAATTAATACAAAAATACAATTCCTGTGTGTTCAGTCTTCTGTAATTCCCTGATTTATAATTTTCACACAGCAGCTGTTCTTTGAGCCTTATTTTCAGTCTACCTTTCACGAATATGGCAGTCAGGGTAAGACAGACACAGATGTGTGGTTACCATAAGGAGCAGCTCTAACATTCTTAGTTTAAAATATAGATATTTTTCCTTTAGGGATGTTTAAAGTCAATGCTTTCTTCTGAAACATAAATGTTTTCAAGTAACAAAATTTAATTCCTATGGATTAAATATATTTATAGACCAGCTACACTCACAAAAAATACTTCAAAACATTTCTAATCTAATTTCCCTCTGGGATAAATAAAGTATTTTTGAACTGAATTGATTTGGATTGAAATTCTGCACAAGTTTAAAGTCAATATTAAATGATGTACAAGACCGGCCTGTTCCATAGGCAGTACAGGCAAAAGCTAAGGGCTCTGTCCATCTAGGGGGCGTCAAAAATAGAGGACAAATCTTTAAATAACTTTTTATCAGAGTATAGTTGATTACATCTGTGCAGTAGTTGCTGTCTATTCAAGATTATGAAGATAAGTTGTTCTGTGGGTTTCTCAGCTGCTTTGTTATGAGGTGTTAACTGGTGTTAAGGATATTTCATGATAAAAGCATCATATGATGCAGTCAAGGCCAACTACTGGTGCTCAGTGTGTAAATAGAAAACAAAAATTATAATAAATGGAAGTTTCAGTAATGATTAAAGTCTGTTTTTTGGAAAATGTAGAGTTTTGAGTAAATATTTTACAAAGTATATCCCTGAAGCCCCCCTAAAACTGCTTCAGTCCACAGCAGCTGGTTAACCTGAACAGGTGTTCCTCATGAACTCAGCAGATGAGGGCAGATATGAGGTGGACTTCTGGGTTTCTGTTTCAAATGAATTAAATTAAACTGTTTTCTAAAGATAAAAAAAGTAATATGGAAGACAAAACTTTGTATGCAAATGTTATAAATTGGCAGTAAAATTTAGGAAACTGCACAGGGGTGCCAACTGAAATCTTGGATGCCAAATTGGCTAGGTATTTGTTTGGTATCACATAACCTTTGTTTACCAACCAAGAAATAAGAAAATACAATTACATGTGTTAGAAAGTATAGAGAGATACAAACTGTAAAGCTGAATGTTTGAACACTAAGATTTAACACTTGGTGGGACTTGACTCTGGTAAAAATTGGTGGTTTGCATGTTGTTCAAGGCCTTTTTTCTTGAGTTTCTGGAGCCAGGACAGGGATTCAGGAGATAGACCAGATCTGAGTTATGTGTGGTAAATTTATGTAATGGGGTGTAACGATACAGAAAATTCACAATTCGGTTAAATTCGGTACAAGTATATCGACTAGTCTCACGTTTCAATATTTTTCAATACAAAAAAGAGAAATGTCCATGCCCTTCTTAACTTGTAATTTAATTAAAGGGCCAATATTATGTGTTTCTCAGACATACATTTAAATACTATACCATAATAAAGTATCTATGTCACCTTTACCTGTTATTAAAATGCTGTTTTCATGTTTAAATAGAAAATAAACTTATCTTCTCATCACTTCCTCTTCTAAACACTTTGAAATTGGCCTCTGTCTCTTTAAGAACCACCTTCCGCTTCTGTTTTGCACATTTCAGTGTGAGGGGGAGGGGGTGGGCTGCATTGATGCAGTTTACTTGGCATCTGAAAATACATTTCCTCAAATGTATTTTCAATCTGAAAAGAGCTTCACTGAGTGAGAACTAATGTTGAGAGCAGCAGATAGTTTAAGTTTTACTTTTGGTTTTTCACCCGAGAGCCTGCAGGAGTCATGGGTGGGGTGTGTGGGGAGGGGGGTGCGCTCTGCCATGAGGAAGGTCAGCTTAAAGACACGTCCCAGGGGCGTTTCTGGTCCCCACCTGTCGTTTTGCTCCTCAGCAGGGCTTCTTAAAAACACTGCAGGATTTCTCAAACATGCATGAATGAGTCAGAGCAAGGCTTTGGGCATGTTTTTTTATGATAGTATAACATTATGATATAAAACTCTAAAAAGTTGCTTTTACATGATATTGCTCCTTTAAATTAATTACAAACATTTGTTTAACCTCAAAAGTACAGTTTTTAAATTAAATGTTGCTGAACAACAAGTTTCTCAGTGGATCTGCGCTCAAAAATGCAGCCTAGGTGGAGTAGTCGAACACAGATCCACTGATCCTTCAACACAGAGCATCTTCAGGAGACAAGTTGATAAAATAAATTTGAACAATTTGTATAGTTTGATACATAGTGTATTGAACCTAAAGCACTGGATTGAACAGTTTGATACAGATGCATGTTGCACCTCTAGTCTGTAAATACATATTCAGGTCTGAGAACTGAACCGATCTCCTGTGCATAATTAGGTCCGTCTTTGTACAGGGAAGCTGGTCCTGTTCCAGCTTCAACTTCCAAGTTCTGCTTGTTATTTTCAGTCTATGATTTTCAACTAGACTGGATCCTGTTGTGTGGAAATTCTTTCCATGACGTTTTACACTTTGTTCAAACCAACCAACTTATGATTCAGTAACTGGGATTCAACAATTAACCACATGAAAGACAATGAGGTCAGACAAACAGAGCTGCAGCACTTCCTGGCTCTGATTAGAAGTGATCTGTCAGAGAAATGATGCCAAATAATAATATATCTTCTTCATTTGCTCCCAAAAACCTGGAAAATCTCAAAATCACCTTGTTTTTTGTCTGTCTTAATGTGAGAAAACTACATTGTAACTAAAGGATAAGGCAGAGTTCTGACTCGTGCTGCAGACAGAACCTGTAAGACTGATCTGATGATCCAACACCCACACTGCAGCCACGATATATGACCATAACTATAGCAGTACTTTGCAGCAATAAGAAATCAATACACCTTACATAAATCTGTGTTTCTTGTCTTTGGTTACACTGCAAAAACTGTCCATCTTACCAAGTTTTAAAATCTTATATCAGCCAAAAAAGTCTTTTTGATCTTGTTTTGAGACTGATTTACTAAACAAGAACTGATTGTGTAAGAATAATCATCTTGTTTTCAGAATGTGTAAGATTATTTGTCTTGTTAGTCTGAAAATTTGACTCAAATTAAGTCAAAATTTTCTGCCAGTGGAGTAAGAAAATTTTACTTTGTAAGATTCTTGAAATAAGAAAAAATTGAGTCAAATCAAGTATTTTAAGAATCTTACCAAGTAAAATTTTCTTACTCCACTGGCAGAAATTTTGACTTAATTTGAGTCAAATTTTCAGACTAACAAGACAAATAATCTTACACATTCTGAAAACAAGACTGAGAGATAATTTTGGTATTTCTGGCTCTGTGTTAAACTGGTTCACCTCTTATTTATCTGAACGGTCTTTTACTGTTTTTATGAATCAGGTTTACTCTGATGTTGCACCGCTGTCTTGTGGGGTACCCCAAGGTTCAGTTTTGGGCCCAATCCTCTTTTTATTGTACCTGCACCCTTTAGGAGGTATTTTAAAATGTTACAGTAACACCATCTGTATGCTGATGACATACAGTTGTACTTTTCCTTTAGACCCCCTGAGTTCTTCAAACTATCTGAACTCAGTAACTGTCTGTCAGAAGTCAAAACATGGCTGAACAACAACTACCTGCAGTTAAATGCAAACAAGACTGAAACTCATATTATGGCCCCCGATGATAAAATCCCTGTAATCAGGCAGCACCTTGCTTTTTTAACTCCTTCAGTGAAAAATAGTCTCATAAATCTGGGTGTTGTCTTTGATAGTTCTATGTTTTTTGACAATCATTGTAAAATTTTAGTTCGTAACTGTTTTTATCATTTAAGGAATATTTCAAAGCTGAGATCTTTTGTGTCACAGAAGGAACTAGAGATGGTTGTTCACACTTTTATTTCTTCTCGTTTAGATTATTGTAACAGTCTTTTTACATGTTTAAACAAATCCTCCCTGACTCGGCTTCAGTCTGTGCAGAACGCTGCAGCGAGATTATTAACAAAGACCCACAGGAGAGCCCACATTACACCTGTTTTAGCCTCTCTGCACTGGCACCCTGTGCATTTGAAGAATCATTTTGAAATTTTAGTTTTAACTTTCAGAGCACTTCATGGTCAGGCCCCCAAATACATCCTGGACCTTCTGAAGCCTCTCTGTCCATCCAGGACTTTGAGGTCTTCTAATCAAATGCTGCTGGTGGTCCCAGGAACCCATGATAAAACCAGTGGAGACAAAGCTTTTCAGGTGGTGGCCCCGAGGCTCTGGAACGCTCTCCCTCTGTCCCTTCACTGATCAGATTCTACTGACTCTTTTAAGAAACATCTTAAGACATTTTTATTCAGACAGGCTTTTAGTTAATGTGCTTTTTATTGTGTTTTAATTGTTGTTTTTATATCTGTGATCTGTTTTATTGTTTTTAATTATTTTTTGCTTTCTGTGAAGCACTTTGTGATGTTTGTGTCTCTGAAAGGTGCTATAGAAATAAAGTTTACTTACTTACTTTTACTTACTTACTTAAAACAAGATGATTATTCTTACACAATCAGTTCTTGTTTAGTAAATCAGTCTCAAAACAAGATCAAAAAGACTTTTTGGCTGATATAAGATTTTAAAACTTGGTAAGATGGACAGTTTTTGCAGTGTAGTTTATTTTTAACTTCAGAGGGAGCTGAGGCCACTAGCTGGAAGCAGCACTTTTCATCCCTCCTTCCTCTCTGCTCTCTGCTTCCTCCTCTTGGACTGAGTGTCGATTTGTCTTTTCACAGGTGACATGATCCTCGCCTTCTGTTTATCGGTGCTTGTGGGCCTGCTGCTGGGAGCCATGGTCTACGTTCTGCTGACCTGGGTGTCGAGGGGCCGGGCTAAAGCCAGGATCACTTCTCGAACACGTGACCCCACGGACAACCAGCTGGGTGTTTACAGAAGCACTTTTCTGGGTGTTTACAGGCAGCCGTCTTTAGAGCCCGTGGGCCCTTTGGGGAGTAAACCTTTGGCAGAGGCATCCACATTTCGACCGCTGCCCAAAAAGAGCCGTCCTGCTCTGAACTTGGTAAATGACGCACAGGTAACCATGTCAGAGGACACGGTGGCCTCAGACTCGTCGGACTCGGCCTCTCTTGTGCCAAACAAAAGACATTCCTTCTGGTTGGGCAGCAACAGCCTGAAAGGATTCCTCCCCTCACACACCCCGCCTCCTGCGTACGACAGCTGCATCCACGCCTTTCAGGAGACCTACACCTAAAACCAGTCCCATCAGAACCAGAACCACAAACAGGACCAAAAGTTTGGAGCTGCTTTGTTTGTTCCAGCAGTCTTTAAAGACAATAAAAAAGCACAGTCCAATTTAGAGAAGTGAATCCTCATCTGAAATAAATGCTTCATCAGCCAGAACAGCTCACCTGAACTTATCAAGACAGTCCAGTGAGTCAACTTTAAACTGCTAAACAGTCTGATGGTTTTCACTCAGCATTTTATGACACCAACCACAGAGTACAAAGTGTGGAGAGAGGCTAAAGTCTTCATCCAGGTTAGGCTAATGCAGGGCTCTGCAACCTTTATGATCAACAGAGCCATTTCTGCTACTTGGCTCACAAATAAAATGTGTTCAGAGCCGCAAAACCAGCTACAACTGTGATTATCAACTGATGGTTCGTGGGCCTTTTCGAAGCCTTTTCAGGAACCTTTATGGCCAGTGACTTTATAAAACTAAAAATATATTGTGAATTTAATTATTTATTGTTTTTGCACATCAGGACAAATGAAAAGACCATATTCATATAAACAAGAAAACACTGTATATAGTTTTTACCAAGTTTCATAAAAACTAGGTCAACTGAACTATTCAGGTATTTTTTTTCTAATACTTATTATTATAATGTAGTTTTCAAATTCTTTAAAGGTGATTCTGATGGATTTGAGAGAAATATCGTAGAAAGAATTTGGATTATTTAAGTAAACACTAGGCTAGCATGAGCTAACATGTTTTATCTTTTGTATTAGCATTGATCACATATTTGCATACAAATTTATTTCTGTTGTGAGTACAAAAAAACAAAAAACGTGTATTTGTTCTGTTATGTTTGGTCACATTTTCAAAGAGTCACCGCAGAGGGACCAAAGAGCCACATGTGGCCCCAGAGCCGCAGGTTGCAGGCCCCTGGGCTAATGGTTAGCCAAATCATTTATCAGATTTCTAAGAGGACTTCTTCAGAAACAGCAGACAGTTGTAAAACAATGCTACTGTTGAACACTTTGTGGTTGATTAATTGAATTTTTAGACACATTTCTTAAATGTTTTACTTTGTGTCGACTTCCTTGTTAAAAACCTGCGTTATGTGTCCCTCTGGGCCGTTAACTGGGATGGATCAGATCTGAATTATGTGTGGTAAACTCTATATGTTTGTAATTAAATATTAGATTATTAACATGTCCCCTGTGCATACTTCGGCTGCAAATTGTGACACATTTTCTTACACAACATTAGCTACTCTTATGTTTGTTTGGTTTGTTCCTTTTGTTTGAACCAAACTAACATCAGTGCTACAACTTTAACATCATGCAGAGTGTAGATGTGTTTATGCCGATGGTCCCCAGGCAGCTGACTGTACACGGATGGTGCTGAGGCAGTCAAATTTAAGCACATGGTGCTGAGACACAATAAAATAAAATGACACTTGTTTGGTTAGCCATTAGCCTAGCCTGGATGAAGATTTCTTTCTTCGCTCTCGGGGCTCCATGACTGCTGTCTCAACTGATAAGGTGTTAATTAAAAGGTAAAGACAGAACATCTTCCAAAAAGATTGAACTGTTTCTTTAATGACTCAGACCCAGATAGTAAAATATGAGTGAATCAGCCTTGAAATATGGTTAGGCATGATACTGAATCCATGTTGAAATTATACAAAAAGTGGTCGTTGACTTACTTGTTGAAACAGTTGTTAGTTTTTCAACACTGATAATATATCAGTGTTGATTCAACATTGATTAGACGACATTTTAATCATTAGAATTCAACCATGAGACGTTGAATCAACAACATCTTTTAAACATTGGTTAATAGTTAGAATTGGATGTTTGATGGTTGATTCACCATAAACACTGCAAAAACTGTCCATCTTACCAAGTTTTAAAATCTTATATCAGCCAAAAAGTCTTTTTGATCTTGTTTTGAGACTGATTTACTAAACAAGAACTGATTGTGTAAGAATAATCATCTTGTTTTCAGAATGTGTAAGATTATTTGTCTTGTTCGCCTGAAAATTTGACTCAAATCTGCCAATGGAGTAAGAAAATTTTACTTGGTAAGATTCCTGAAATACTTGATTTGACTCAATTTTTTCTTATTTCAAGAATC